CAAGAGTTTTCTGGTTTAGTTCTCTTTGTGTAGGAGCTGCCTCAAATTTCAACTTTAGGAACTTATTTCTGCATCACTGTTGAGTCAGTGAGATTCCTCCAAAACCTGAAACCCAAACTTAACTCATTCAGGGCCTTTAGTTCCTTCTTCAGTTAGAAATTATTATTCAGACTCCAACAATGAAACTTATAGGGAATAATCCATCAATACTTGTATACTTCATTTCTCTGAGGTCTAGTTTCACAACAGAAAACTTAACTGAAAATTTATTCTGTATCAGTTCTACATTCTTTTCCAGAATTTTACTTGCTATCAATGGTGTCTCTTCAGATTTTAGTATATGTACTCTCCAAATGGTAGGGGATCATAATATCAAATTCTACAGTGGGAACATCAGGTTACATACACAAGAGAAACTGGCAAGTAAGATAGTAGATTCCCCATTGAAAGGTAGCAGCTGCTAGCCAGGACCAGCTGAGTGCTCCACAGAAACATAGGCCCAGAGTTGTTAGCCCTTATAATTTTTTAAGATGAGTCTTGTTTTTTTTTTTTATATGAAATTCTCTAAGTTTTAAATAGTGGAAATAGAAGTACACACGTACATGTATGTACACACATACACATTCCATTATGCAGACCAACTGAAACATGCTTAAGGGCTTGATCTTACCCAATCTATTAGCTTGTAATCTTTGCCACACGGAATGTTTACACTCCAATTGCAGGAAGATGTACTAGCCACAGGCAAAATTAAAAGAAAATAGAATTCTATTTTGCAAAAGGAATCCATCCAGAATGGCTTTGTTTTCCACACATTCTCTTTCCCCCCACCTCCAATCTATTTTCCTAGGACTGTTACTCTCATGGCTGAGACAGCTCAGGTGCCAACTCTCTAAATTACCAATCCCCTTGGCCAATGTCCACAAGAAAAAAACGTTGGGGTGCCTTGCCCAATTAAAACATTCCCTGAAGGCAAATTTGCCTGAGCTTCACTGACCTGTTCCTATTTTATAGCATTCCAGGGATTTCTGCATCAAGTATTCCAAAAGTATAATGTATTCTCAGTAAGCTAAAAGTCCAGCATCCTGAGAGTATTTTCCACTTCAGAAACTTGAAAGTTCCAACGAATCAAAAATAGCTTATTTTCACATCTTCAGAGATTATCAAAGATACAAAAAAAATTAGAAATCATTAGTCCCACTCCCTCATTATCCTAGTAAAGAAACTAGAATTCAGAAAGGTCAAGTAATTTGTCCATGCTAATATAACGAGTTGGTTGGCAAACTGGGATGGAATCCAGGTTAAATGACAGCAGTCAAGCTCTCTTTCTACCACACTATATGGTAGTGGAAGGGGAAAGTAGAAGAGAGGGAAATTCCCCAAAGAAATGAACTTTCCAAATTCAAGTTTGGCCGTAAAGAATCATTTTGTATCTCATACTATTTTCTTCACTTTCCACCTGACTTTACCAAACCTAATTACTCTATTTACAAGCAGTTGACATCCTTGTAAAGAAGAGGGGTGAGTGTAAAAAAAATATTTTTCCTAGCTGCCACTTTACCAAAGTTGCAGCTACTAATCATTGTTGTTAGCATAACAGCTTACATCCCAGGTTTTCATTAACTGACAATTTGAACTAAATTACCTCCCCCCTCCACTATTTTCCCAGAATTACTCTGCAGAGTGATATCCCTGATGTCTGATGAGGCCTGAATTACTTTTAAATGTCTTCTCACATTCATTACATTCATATTCTCTCCTTCCAGTGTGAATTTTTACGTGTTCTACAAGGATTGAGCTTCGACTAAAGGTGGCTCCACAATAGTTACATTCATAAGGCTTCTCTCCAGTATGAATTCGGTGATGCTCGTTAAGAGATGAACTCTGACTGAAGGATTTCCCACATTCTTTACATTTGTAAGGTTTTACACCAGTATGAATTCTCTTATGACGACTAAGGAGGGAATGGGTAGGGAAGGCTTTCTCACACTGGTTGCATTTGTAGGGTTTTTCTCCTGAATGGAGTCTCTGATGATAAATGACAGACGTAAAATGGCTAAAAGTCATCCCGCAATCATTACACAAATATGGTTTCTCTCCAGTGTGAATTCTCTGATGCCTGGTAAGGCATGAATTCTGCCTAAAGGCTTTTCCACATTCACCACATTTATAGGGTTTCTCTCCAGTATGAATTCTCTGATGTTTAGAAAGGGATGAGCTATGACTGAAGCATTTTCCACAATCGTTACATGCATAGGGTTTTTCCCCAGTATGAATTCGCTGATGTTGAATAAGAGATGAACTGTCACTGAAGGGTCTCCCACAGTCTTTACATTTGTAAGGTTTTTCTCCAGTATGAATTCTCTGATGTTTAATGAGGTGGGCACTAAGGGTGAAACCTTTTCCACAATCATCGCATTTGAAGGGTTTCTCTCCATTATTAGTTCTGTGATGTGGTGTGAGCGATGAACTATCACTAAAACCTTTTCCACATTCATTACACAAATAGGGTGTCTCTCCAGTGTGAATTCTCTGATGTTTGGTGAGTGAGGCACTATAGCCAAAAGCTTTTCCACATTTACTGCACTCATGGGTTTTTTCTCCTGTGTCAGTTCCCTCATCTTTATTAAAGGCTGCAGCCTGATGTGACTCTTTCCAACATTTTTCACATATACAGATTTTTCTCTTAGAAATAGATGACCTTGGAATGAAGAGCATACCACATATACTGCACTTCTTAGACCTATCTGCCAAAAGACTCTTCTGACGTTTCTGATGTTCAGTAAGAGATGAAGAGAGACTGATGACTTTCCCACCTTCATTACATTTTCCGTGACTTTTCTCTTTGCGGTTCTGAATAAGGTCTGAATGAAAACTGAAGGGTTTCTTGCTTTCATGATACCTCCGGGATTTCTTCTTTAAGTAGACTCTCAGATGTTTAATTATGTCCGAAGTGTCTTTGAAATTACGTCTAGAGGAGCTCCTTTTTGGGTCAATTTCCTCACCCTTATTGCCTTTCCCATGAGATTTCTTTTGTGTCACTGTTCCTTTTGAATGTCCCTGCTTGCCATGCTCCTCCAACAACCTCCGGAATTCTCCCATCAAGCCATACTCATCATCCCTGAGGCATTTTTCTATTATTTTATCTAAAGTTGATTCTTCTGTATAATCATCTTGATTTCCAACAGATACTGTTGATTCACCTTTAGGCTCGCCCTCTAAAAGAAATAAGAAATAGAATATTTCCTGTTTGCAATAAAACCTGCTGCTATATTTGGGACTGAAATGGGAACACAGACAGTAATGACTATAAGAAATATAGCTTGAATGGTTCTCAAATAGAGCTTTAAAAAATAGGAAAGGGGCCGGGCGCGGTGGCTCACGCCTGTAATCCTAGCTCTCTGGGAGGCCGAGGCGGGCGGATTGTTTGAGCTCAGGAGTTC